GATTCTATTTTATTCACCAGTTTAGTTTCTTCATTAGATTTCGTATTCTTTTGATTTTTAGATTCAACTGTTGATAGATATGTATTTGTTGCCATTTTATTGTTCATATGTTTTATCTTTTTTCTTTTCCCTCTTCTTCTTCTTCTTAAAGAATACCCTTCAACATTTCATGTAATACTGGTTTGGTGGTGACTAACTCCTTTAGCCTTTTCTCCTTATACTTTTTTTATTATTAAGGGTATTTTGATTTTTTTTAAAGCTATACTAGTCTCATTTATAACAAAAATAAAAATTAAGAGGGCATTTGGAAAAGAGTAGGGGGAAACTGTGTAAACTATGATGAAAAAAAATGTGAATTGTATTACTATATGGATATATTATTATTAAGGGTATTTTGATTTTATTTTTTTTAAAAGCTATACTAGTCTCATTTATAACAAAAATAAAAATTAAGAGGGCATTTGGAAAAGAGTAGGGGGAAACTGTGTAAACTATGATATAATATAATCAAAGAGTTATTTGTAATGAAAAAAATGTGAATTGTATTACTATATGGATATGTTCATAGGAAATAATCTAAGTAGGAAAAGCAGAATTATGCTTTTTATTATGCCCACCTAAATTGCAACTTTGGAAAACCTAATCTACATGTTACCAAAGATTAAAAGCAAATGACGAGTGTAAAAATAGTAGCAGTTTAGTGACAGTGGATTGCTCTCAGTAGTTATTTCAATTCACTATCATTTAAATGGCTTTTCCTTTTCCCAGTTATTCAATGTAAGACACCACCAACCATCGACAATGGATATTTTGCTGGCAACAGCGGAGACGATTTTCCATACGGAATAGTGGTGACCTATCACTGCAATGACAGAAAAGGAAGGGAAAAGTTTGAACTCGTGGGCGAGAAGTCAATATATTGCACCAGCAAAGATCAAGTGGGCTTGTGGAGCGGCCCTGCCCCTCAGTGCATCGTACCTAATAAGTGCACGCCTCCGCACGTTGAAAATGGAATAAGGGAGTCTGAGAACAGAAGCTTGTTCTCCTTAAATGACATCGTGAGGTTTAGGTGTCAGCCTGGCTTTGTCATGAAAGGCCCCTCCAGTGTGCGCTGCCAGGCCCAAAACAGATGGGAGCCCGAGCTGCCCAGCTGCTCCCCGGGTGAGTCTGACTGAGGCTTTGAGGGGGCCTGCAGGTGACAGGAGCTGTGGGAGGACCCCCGGATTAGTGTTTGTTCTGGGAGGGAGATGTGGGCTGAGCAGTGTGAGTAAAGTTTCTAGGGGTGAAGCATGAAGCATGAAAGGAAGAAGGTGTGTGGGTGCCCTCACTGCAGTGAGTGTGCCTTCATCCTGGAGAGCAAGAGCCTAATTCATCAGGGACGGGGGCATTGGGGATGCTCCTACTGAGTAATTCGCAGGGCAAAGCACCAGCTCTCAGACTGAAAAAGGATGTGAGCCTTCTGGTCAGCTGTGTAATGAGCACTCTCTGTGCTTTATCTCATCGACTCTGTACAATCCTCCTTAGAAAGAGTGCTATTCTCTTACCCATCTGACAGAGAAGTTAGCTTGGTCTTTCAGAGGTTAAAGAAATCATCCAAATCACGTGCCAGGAATAGAATGCATGTGTGTCAGACCCTTTGTTAGACCGGAACCCCTCTACCTATGAGTTTCTGACTCCTTGGATGAGTTAAGATTTAGCAAAGAATATTCCCCATAACTGACAGGAACTCTGTGCTTGTTCTTCCCCCAGTTTGTCAGCGGCCTCCAGGAATCCTGCATGGCCAGCACAGCCCCAGCGACAAGGACAGCTTTTCCCCTGGGCAGGAGGTGCTGTACAGCTGTGAGCCCGGCTATGAGCTCAGAGGGGCCGCCTCTCTGCGCTGTACGCCCCAGGGGGACTGGAGCCCGGCCGCCCCCACATGCGCAGGTGCCTCCACTCACTCTCATCCTTTCTGCAGATGAATGTCTTTGCACCTCACATGGCGGTCTTACTCCTCCTTTCTTTTTCTGTAGTGAAATCATGTGCTGCCTTCCGGGACCGACTTCCTAATGGCCGTGTGCTCTCTCCACTTCACCTGGAGCTT